AGTCTCACCTGCTTGCCTTGTAGTAAGTAAGTCTTACACCTCTAAAACTGCATACATCACAGTTCCCTTTTTTTGTTTGTTTTTTTTTTTTTTTTTAGACAGATTTTTATATTTTTAGTAGAAACAGGGTTTCACCACATTGGCCAGGCTAGTCTCGGACTCCTGACTTAAAGTGATCTGCTTGCCTCTGCCCCCCCAGAGTGCTGGGATTACAGCTCGAGACTAGCATGGCGAAACCCCATCTCTACTAAAAATATAAAAATTAGTTGGGCATGGTGTGGCACACACCTGTAATCCCAGCTACTCAGGAGGCTGAGGCAGGAGAATCGCTTGAACCTGGGAGGCAGAGGTTGCATTGAGCCAAGATTACACCACTGCACTTCAGCCTGGGCAACAGAGTGAGACTCTCTAAGTAAGTAAGTAAGTAAAGTAAATAAATAAATAAGTAAATAAAATTTCAGGTTGCCTAAGCTGTCATGAGTTCAGCTTCTTAGGTTTGTCCATGCATAGTAAAGGAAGATGTGTGATAACGACTGCATCCTTTGAAAGAGCCCACAGCACCCACAAACATGGTGCTTCTTCACCATGGCCTGTAGTTACCCAAATGCACATGCTGCTCTCCCCACAGACTCGTGGAGGATGAGGAGAGGCGCTGGACTGACGAGAACATCGACACGGTTGCTCTGAAGCACTTCCCTAACATCGACAGAGAGAAGGCAATGAGCCGGCCCATCTTGTACAGCAACTGGCTGTCAAAGGTAGCAGACTCGCAGCGTTTTAGACGTCCTTCTTGTTCTGCCGTCCCTTTCTAACTCTAACCAATTCTAACCAATTATCTTCTACTCTAAAATACCTTTGGGCCAGGTATGGTATCTCACATCTGTAATCCCAGCACTTTGGGAGGCTGAGCCAGGAGGATCACTTGATCCCAGGAGTTTGAGCCCAGCCTGGGCAACATAGTAAGACCCCACCTCTACAAAAAAATTTGAAAATTTAGCCAGGCAAAGTAACTCATGCCTATGGTTCCAGCATCTTGGGAGGCTTGAGCCCGGGAAGTCGCAGTGAGCTGTGATCACACCACCATACTACAGCGTGGGTAAAACAGCAAAACCTTGTTTCAAAAAATACTTTAAAAAACAAAACATTGGCCGGGCACAGTGGCTCATGCCTGTAATCCCAACATTTTGGGAGGCCGAGGCGGTGGATCCCCTGAGGTCGGGAGTTCGAGAACAGCCTGACCTACATGGAGAAACCCCGTCTCTACTAAAAATACAAAATTAGCTGGGTATCGTGGCGCATGCCTGTAATCCCAGCTGTTTGGGATGCTGAGGCAGGAGGATCTCTTAAACCTGGGAGGCAGAGGTTGAGGTGAGCTGAGATTGCGCCATTGCACTCCAGCCTGGGCAACAAGAGTGAAACTGTATCCAAAAAAAAAAAAATACAGTGAGGTGCAATGGCTCACGCCTGTAATCCCAGCACTTTGGGAGGCCAAGGCAGGCAGATCACTCGAGGTCAGGAGTTCGAGACCAGCCTGGACAACATGCTGAAACTCCATCTCTACTAAAAAGACAAAAATTGCTGGGCGCGGTGGCTCAAGCCTGTAATCCCAGCACTTTGGGAGGCCGAGACGGGCGGATCACGAGGTCAGGAGATCGAGACCATCCTGGC